CTCGTTTCTGCATATAAGTTGGACTACTGATGTTCTCTGCTGGTCTGTGGGGACCTCATAATCTGAAAATAACAGTTGATACTTCCAAAAGTTCTTTTATTGTACAGGATTATTTTAGCAATCCTGGATTATTCCTTTTTCCATATGAAGTTGAGAGTTGCTCTTTCAAGATCTGTAAAGAATTGTGTAATTTTGATGAAAATTGTGTTGCAATTTTGATGGGAATTGCATTGAATTTGTAGACGGCTTTTGATAAGATGGCCATTTTTACTATGTTAATCCTACTGATCCATGAGCATGGGAGAGCTTTCTGTCTTCTAAGATCTTCTTTAATTTCTTTCTTTAGAGACTTGAAGTTCTTGTCATACATGTCTTTCACTTGCTTTGTTAGAGTTGCACCAGGTATTTTATATCATTTGTGGCTATTGTGAAGGGTTTCCCTGATTTCTTTCTCAGCCAATTTATTGTTTACATAAAGAAGGGCAACTGATTTTTTAAAATTAATTTTGTGTCCAAACACTTTCCTGAAGGTGTTTGTTTATCAGCTATAGGAGTTCTCTGGTAGTATTCCCTTGATCTCTTTTAGTCATCTTATTGCTCTGGCTAGCACTTCAAGTACTATATTAAAATGATACTGGGAGAGTGTACAGACTTGTCTTATCCCCAATTTTAGTGGGATTGCTTTGTGTTTCTCTCCATTTAATTTGATGTTGGCTGTTGGCTTGCTGTATATTGTTTTTATTGTGTTTAGATATGTGCCTTGTATCTCTGATATTTCCAAGACTTTTAACAAGAAGGGCTGTTGGATTTTGTCAAAGGCTTTTTCAGGATCTAATGAGATGATTATGTAGTTTTTTTCAGTTTGTTTATATGGTGGATTATGTTGATGGATTTTCATATATTGTACCACCCTTGCATCCCTGGGATGATGTATTTGATGTATTCTTGAGTTTGGTTTGTGAGAATTTTATTGAGTATTTTTCCATCAATGTTCATAAGAGAAATTGGTCTGAGATTCTATTTTTTTGGGTTGGATCTTTGTGTGGTTTAGGTATCAGGATGACTGTGGTCTCATAGAATATGTTCGGCAATGATCCTTCTGTTTCTATTTTGTGGAATTGTTTGATGGGTATTGATATTAGCTCTTCTTTGGAAGTCTGGTAGAATTGTGCATCAAAACCATCTGGTGCTAGGCTTTTTTTGGGGGGCGGTAACTTTTAATGACTGCTTCTATTTTCTTTGGGGATTATAGGACTGCATTAACTTTGGTAAGTGGAATCTATCAAGAAAATTGTCCATTTCATTTAGATTTTCCAATTTTATGAAGTACAGGCTTTTGGAGTAAGACCTAATGATTCCTTGGATTTCCTCAGTGTCTGCTGTTATGGCCCACTTTTCATTTCTGATTTTGTTAATTTGGATATTGTCTCTCTGCCTTTTCATCAGTTTGGCAAAGTGTTTGTCTATCTTGTTGATTTTCTCAAAGAACCAGCTCTTGGTGTCATTGATTCTTCGGATTGGTTTCTTTGGTTTTATTGATTTCAGCCCAGAGTTTCATTATTTCCTGTCATCTACTCTTCTTGGGCATGATTTTTCTTTTTGTTCTAGAGAATTCAGGTATGGTGTTAAGTTGCTAGTTTGGTAGCTCTCCAGTTTCTTTATGAAGTTTCTGAGTGCTATGAACTTTCCTCTTAGCACTGCTTTCCTTGTGTCTCACAAGGCTGGGTATGTTGTGTCTTCATTTTCATTGAATTTTAGAAAGTATTTAATTTCTTTATTTATCTCTTCTTTGACACAGTGGTCATTGAATAGAGAGCTCTTCAGTTTCCATAAGTTGGTACACTTTCTGTTGTTTCTGTTGTTGCTAAAGTCCAACTTTAATCCATGGTGTTCTGAGAAGATTCGAAGGGTTACCTCAGTCTTCTTGTATCTGTTGAAGCTTGTTTTGTGACCGATTATATGGTCTGAAGTATTTTCCACTCCAAGTTTTCTATTCCTGATGTTTCCTATTCAAGGCATTCTAGGTCACTTGGTTGTCAGACTTATGTTGAAAGCACCCCTGTAGGTGTCAGACCAAGAAATGAACCACACTAAGAGATGATAATCCAGTGTAGAGTGACTTCATCAATCTGAATTAGACTTGGGGGAGTCTACTACTAGGCAGTTCGTTGCTAGCATACTTAAAACACAGTACAATTTGGGAAAAGATTTCCAGGCAATAATCAGTCCAATCAGTCCAGCTCCAGGTGAACAATAAAGGTTAAGGTGAGATTACATAGAAACTCTTTTACAAAGTACATGTGACCATGAGGGTGGGTTTTATAGCTAAAAGGCCTAGAATTTAATGTGGTCTCTGACCAATAACATAGAGGTTAGCAGGCCATAAAGGCCATACATGTAAAGTCTTCCCTAAAGATGGATAACAGTCTAGGGAAGAAAGAGTCTGGGATAACCATTCTTGGAAATTTGGTTAAGATCTGCCTTTATGGCAAAAGAGTGACCAGGACAGTAACAAAATCCACACTCAGCCTTTTGGATAGAATGCAGATATTTTATCTCCTTCATTGAGAACATGTCCCTGTGTGTTTGACATTTCTAGTTTCCGTAGTGATCTGTGGGAACAAGGACCTTTGTGCCTTCAATAACCTGTTGCTCATTAAAGAGTGGATCGCTCCTACAAGTGGGAGAATTAGCCTCAGGTGAATATGTGCTCCCTATTTGGCCATCCAATGTAGTGTTGTCAGTCCTGAAACCATATACACACAGCCAATAGAAATGGATTCATCAAGTTTTATTCATATATTTGAGCATACTTACTCACACATACTTGACAAAGAAGAAATTGGCTGGGAAGAATTAGGGGAAAGATGGAGAAAGGACTGAAAAGGGGAAAGTGATGTAGTATATTTTAAGTAATATGCATAAAAATAAATGTTCAATAAAAAGTTGCTAGAGAGATAGCTTAGCAGTTAAGAGCAATTGGGTATTGTTATTGAGGACCCAGTTTCCATCCCCAGAAACCACATAGTAGCTGTTTGCTAGGCCTCTAATCCAGGCATCTCCTGGCCTCTTCTGGCCGCTGTGGTACTGCACATATCACATGTAGGCAAACACACACACACACACACACACACACACACACACACACACACTAAAAATTTAGAATTCTATATAGTGATGTCACAGCCCTAAGACAAAGAGCAGTCAAAGCTAGTTAAAATGAACTCTTTCTGGTCCTGCATGTAAGCAGCTATGGCCTTCCTCTGACCCAGTCTGCTTAGAGGCTATTGAGTTTAGAATAGCTCACCAAAGCTACTTCTCTGAGAAAAGTATCCACACTTCTGATAAGTGACTTTTCTTTAGTGTTTTCTGAATTTGTGTTCTTTGTCCTTTGTATATATGTGAATTGCGGCAATGATACATCTATTTGCTAAATCATACATCATAATTGACAGGTAGCATTGACTCCTGAGCAATCTACTTTCACAGTATTGTTTATTTGATATTTCAGCTAAGACCTTCTAGTATAAGGTGAACATTCCAGAGACATCTCTGCCTATCATTTTTATAATTTACATATGTTTCTGTTGACTTTGAGTTAAGAATATCATTAAATATCTCAACTTTGACATTGTGACCATGTTCAGGACAGAGTTTAACTCAGCATGCTTAGGAGTAGGCAAATCTATATGTGAACAAATCCAGATTCCCTCAGTAAAATCTCAATGCTTCCTTTGTTGAAGAATTGTTTTGGAAATGACTCCCATGCTCTCCTTGCCTGCTACAGGAGGCAAAAACTCAATCTCAGTTTTTCAGTCTTGGCTGATATGATGGATATTCTTGGTAGTCAAACGGACTACATGTGGAGTTAACTAAAACGGAAGGACTTTGGGTATTGTGCAGAATTGTTCTTAATTATAGCTTTAATATGGGAAAGCCCTTCTTTAATCTGGATCTTTTGAGGTGATAAGATCCACCTTTAACCTAGGGCATCTTCTGGTAGCAGCCTACATTGAAGGTGGTAGTTTTTTCTATTTGTCTGCTTGTCCTACCTCTGCCTAGGAAGGTGTTTTTGTTTGTTTGTTTGTTTGTTTGTTTTTTAACTTACATTAGAGCCTACTTTTGAGATTCTGGTATATACTAAAGACTGTCTAACTGAGACATTAAGCCACATAGACTGAACCACTATTGGATTCTTTATTTTTCCATTGGTAGACAGCCATTATTAGATTCGTTGGACAACAGACTGTCAGCCATTCTAATAAATCCACTTTCTACATACACACAGAGAGAATCATTCTCTCAGTTCTCTTCATCTTGAGAACCTTTACTAATACTGCTTTTTTTTTTTTCACCTTCCTACGGAGGAAGATGTGCCAGTTAACTATAGTGCTCCACAGTGTTTGTCACCTGTTTCCTGCTTTTCTCCCAGGCTTGTCTCATACCTACCAGGTGAGAAGTAGCTGCAGTTTACTTGAACCTAGTATGAAGCCACAAAACAACTCTTATTTCCAAAAATCTCTCTAATTGTTGATGTCTTGCACACCCTTCTACTTGTGGGACAGATTAATAACTCCGCTGCAAGTTGAGTAATGGGCTATGAAAGCTATCTACCTTGATTCTAGGAGGAAGAAAGGGAAGTGCCTACTGAGTGTTGTGAGAAGATCTCAGGCAATCTCTGAAGTCAGGACCCAATGAGAAGAGAGTCACTGCCCAAAAAGGGGAGGAGCAGGCGGCTGAGCAGCGGGAGCGGGATTGATAGGTCCTCCCAGGCTGGGAAGACAGATGGGTAGGCTATTGGAGGACAGGTACAAGTGCTACTGAAATCTCTGAAGTTCTGGAAAAGGTGTGGCTCTGGACTGGAAGCCTGGGCCAAAAACCGCTACACTGAGTTACTTCTGTACACTCTAACAACAAGGGAGGAACGAATGTCACTCAAGACTCACTGGCCAATCAGAGCATTGAGGGAGACCTGCCAGTCAAAGAGGAGGCGGGTTCTTCCGGGTGCCGTAAGGTAGAATTCCGTTTAGTACCTAGGCAGACGTGAATGGTTGTGTGCGTTTAGCAGTGAGCCCTCCTGTTAGGTGCTGTGAGGCAAGCTCAGACAAGCTCCGAAGTTGCGACATGGTGAGCGCAGAGTGCTGAGCAGCGGAAGCTGCTGTGGGTCCTTCCCGGGGTTGGGTGGTAACTGGCGGTCAGATGCCTTGTGAGGTCCCTTGTGGTCCTGGCCACTCGCTGGACCCAGCGGAAGCCACTGAATAACTTTACTATAGGGGCTGCAACTGTGCAGAGCTTTTGGAAGAGTGGCTTGTTTGTAGAAACATCCTTGGCATGATGCCAAACTCGGAGAGCCCTAGTTTCTACAAGTTCTGTTTTTAGCACTTAGCATTAAGGTGCACGATCCATTTGGAGTTAATTTTGTGGAGGTTGTGAAAGGTATCTCATATGTTGGGGTAGCAATCTAACATCAAGCTGTGATGTAGAAGAGTAGAATTAATGATATAAAGGATTTACTAATGGTTAGGATATAATACAGTAAGTCAATCAAGTATAATTTAGCTGGAGGAGGAGTGCCTGTAAAACACCCCACAGATAAGTAGTATGCTAACCAGGCCTGTTAGAGATTAGAATGTTAGGGTATGTTTGTTCACAAAGATTGTCCAGAAATATGGCTGTAAACCATAACAAAGGAAACAACTCTGATTTACAGCCAGCCACTAGGCCCATCCCCATATTAAAGAGCAGGCCTCTAACAAGCTGCTTGCTAGGGCATTACAGGATCACAATCAACATTAAGTCCTGGTGTGCCATAAAGGTTCCGTTTTCTTTTTGAGAAAAGCATAGTTCTGCCACATGGGCAAGATGATACCAGGTGACAACCATTTGAAAAGGTAAACAAAACACTGTTGTGTTGAGTGCTGGCCTGAACAAGCAAGTCTTTCCTAGAGGTCCCCATGTATAGAGATTGGCATAGCTTCTTCTGCAACCCCGTTGAGGTTTGGTCTGTTGCTATGTGTTGTAAAGCTAAATTCTGTATAGGAAGATCTAAGCCTATAAGTGAATTCTCACCATTACAAGCTTTTGTTGTACAAATCTTGTTTTTAATGTAAAACTATTGGTTAAATAAAATAGTTAATATTTTACTAACTATATATTATATTATTGATTTATATATAAATGTATATTATTGGTTAAATTAAAAAAAAAAAAAACTGGACACAACCAGTTAGTGGGGAGATTACCAGAAGGTGAGTTTTGAGTTACCTGATTGAGTGGAGAGCAAGAGGATGAATGGAGGGCCCATGAGGAGAGAGAAGAAAATGCCAGGAGAGCAGAGGTACCATGGGCACTTAGCCAGGAGAAACAGCAAGTATTTGGGGTGGATCACTGGGGAGGTAGCCAGGCCAGCGATTAGAAAAGCAGATTATGTATTACTCCTCAGTAATTGTCAAAGCGAAGTAAAATAACCATAGTCTGAGTCTCATTTATTTGTAAGCTAGTCAGGTAAAGCATGAATTGGTTCTACTACAAACCCAGGAATGTGCTTTCAGAGCCAGTAGCAGGGCCTAGGCCTTGGGAGCTTTTCCTAAGGTCCTGAGGTATAGAGATAAAACACAGCTCCTTCTCTAAAACCAGAAATATTCTTGGGAGAGCATATAGTCTGGGGCCAGGGCTTTTGGGAGGGGTTGCTTCAGAATCAGAACACAAGCCTTCCCACCACATGGAGCTGTGGTTATCAGCCCCAGGGCCAATATAAGGCTTGGTCCGTAATGTTCTTAAGATACCCAGAGTTCCCCTTGTTCAGTACTGTTTGATTGGACTTTTGAGTGTGTCTCATTGCATGATACTTTCTGTTGACTTCTTAGATGTCTCCCATGTCCTTCCATTTCCCCATGTAAGAAGTATACGAGATGGTATTTTTAAGAAGCTTACGTAAGCTTGTGTAAGACCTACCCACCCCAGCTTTTATATGATGTTTTTCATCATCTAGGACCTTCCACTTAAGATCCTGTCACTGAAGAATGACCTGCTGTTTTAGGGCACGGGTGTACTTAAGAAATAATCTTTGGAATACCTTTGCTGTATAAATTTCACATTTGTTTCAGTGGCTAGACTTACAGTCTCTAGTCCATATTTAAATTGTCAAAACATAACCTGTGACTTGAACCTAAAAGAGACAGAAGATGACAGCATATGTGGAAAGCAAAATTTGTCCTAAAAAGAGACGGAAGGTGACAGCATATGTGGAATGCAAAATTTGTCCTAGGCTGGCTTCTCTTTTTATATTAACCAGTGTACCTGGTCTTTGCTACTTTAGTTTCTTCTTTTTCTCACTGCCCTTTATCCCTCCATGTTCCCCCTCCTCCCCACTGTTTCACCCCCTATTATTAGATAGGAAAGAAACAAGGATAGAGGACAAAGATCCTTGCTTCTATTTTTTTTCTTTTGTATATTCTTTCTCCACAGCTACTAACAAAACACAAACAACCTCTCTAAAAGACCAACAACCTCCCCCCACCCTGCCTATTGGGGTCCTCCCATTTATATACCCTCCAAAAATTTTCTGGAATTCCTAATGTGACACCATCAGAGAAATCTGTAGCTGATAAAACCATGCTTCTGCTAGAGCATAAGGCAAATCATGGTCAGTGGCTGCAGGCAGTCGAAGCAACCTCACATTACTACATCTGTGATTATAATGAAAGCACGTTCTTATAATATTCTTGTATTTTTTAAAGAAACCAAAATTCCAGAATTCATAAAAATATCACTACAAACCAGAGTTGGATGAAAGCTATTATTAAAGGGATTTTATTTTAAAATAGTCGTTTAATTGTGTGTGGAGTGATTTATCCCTGTGAAGGCATATCAGCCTTTCAGAAAAATGTTTCTGAGACTCAGGTTAGCTTGATCCTAATCTCTTGCTCTCCAAGGCAATGACCTTGATTTCCTCTTGGATTAAACTTCCTAAATCAAATGGTTAATTCAATTGAAGCATGTAATCAGCTGTCCATTGGAGCAACAGGAGGAAGATTTGCATGTGGAGCATGGCTTCTGCCTTCAGACCAGAATAGGAAGAATAGTTTACCATGCACACTGCAGGGTGAAACAGGGTAAGCAATAGCTAGACCACATACTAAAGTTTAAGGGAGTCAGCTGCAGGGGTCACCATTATGAAGAAGGACCTTATTCGGGTAGGGTGGTGATTTTGTAATATTAATTCATGGATATGAATGAAAACAGACCAAATTTGTGGCTGTACAATTTGTGGCGGTTGTATTGAGCCAGTGAATTTTGAATTTCCAATTAGGTGACTGTCTTATGGAGATATGTACAATCATCATTGACATAGTTAAGTCAGCTCAGAGGGTTGAAACATAGGCCTTTAGCTGTAGCTGTGTGTGTCAGGTTACAGGTTTTAGCAGCTAACATTGCACATGGTGGCAAACTCAAACAGTATCTTATTAATGCCATTTCATCTACCACAGAATGGCCTGTTTTTTTTTCTAAGGTCAGTATAGATATACATTTTTTTCAATTATAACTGTCTTTTTAAGAAGCCATTGTTAGTATTACTTTTTAAATTTTATTTTCTTAATACATCACAGCTCTAATTTCTTACATATTTCTACTCTCCAGTGTCTCTGGGTCATTAAGAATTTTATTCCTTTTTCTCAAGTGTTTTGATTATTTGTTTTTGCTTGGAATAATATCTTCTGTGGCTCAGACTTGCTTCATGTTATATAGTTAAAACATGCTTTAAACACCTAGTCCTTGCCTCTGCTGTCCAGTGCCTAGAAGACAGTCCTGCAACTCCTTCCAGGATTTGCGTTGGCTGGTCAATGAGAAGGAGGAAAGACTAGTGAATGGGTGTCCTCCTACCTCCCTGACTTTTTTAGGGGAATTATAAATAAAGAGGGGGGTTGGAGAGATGGCTCAGCTGTTAAGAGTACTGACTACTCTTCCACAAGTCCTAAGTTCAATTCTCAGCAACCCCATGGTGGTTCACAACCATCTGTAATGGGATCTGATGCCCTCTTGTGTGTCTGGAGATAGTGACAATGTACTCACATACATAAAATAAATAAATTTAAAAAAAAAAGAAAGAAAGAGGGACTTGTGTATGAATTGAGTTCACTGACCACCTTTGAATCTGGTGTAGTCACAGCACAGAAAGGGGCAGGAAGAAATTACTGTAGTTACACTAGTTCTAACAAAACAAAAGATCTTTACAAGCTGGTGTGGCTGTATCGAACAGCAACACTATTTTTTTTCCTGTCTGAAAGAGCACAGCATGAGAGAAAAGATGTGAGTAATACTTGATGTGCTCTAGTATATACATCTAGTCTCTGGAGAATATCGGATCATAAAGCTTGCTTCAACCTTTTAAAATAAATTTGAGATTATAATTAAATTATTTCAGCCTTCTCATTTCTCCCTACTCTTAAGTCTCAGACCCTAGGACAAATGGCTTAGGTGCCTGTTTAACAAATCAAGGCAGAGCTGGCTGTCAGGTTTCCCCAGCATTCCTCAGTCCCTACCTGTCACAGGGTATCCCTGGCATACCTGCCCTCTAGCTTAGGGATTGGGCTGCTTTTCTCCCAGCTGCCCTTTCTTATGTAATCTAATCATTTTGAATACCTGGTCTTTTCCATCTCTCATTTACCTTCCAGGCCTCTTATTCTGACTCTCCTCTCTCTCATCCTCTCCTTACATGGCTCAGGGTCAAGTTGACTCTAGACTCTCCCAAGATGCCCCTGCCATGGCTATGCTCTCTCTTTCCTAAATAATAAACTTTCTACTCTGCCATACCTAGGAGCAGCCATGTCTTTTCCTTTTTAAATTTCTGTTTTCATTCACCTCCCATTTAATGTTCCTTGATTCCAAATTCATAGCCACATTTTACTTCAGTTGTCGCTACTGTTTCAGTCTGACTGAAATTTGGCTGCAGGACTTCCCAGCTGTGAGGAAAAGGGATGGCTGCACTGGACATTGAGTGTATAATGGAATGCACACACAAAGAACCCTGTGCCTTACAAGACAACCAGGTCATCCTAAGGGAGTGGAAGATTCTACTAAAATACAAATTTACCAGAGTAGGGCTCTGTTTGCCTCTAGGATGGAAA